TTATTATTATTATTATTATTATTATTATTATTATTATTATTATTATTTATTATTATTATTATTATTATCCTCTTATTTTATCCAAATCTAAAATCCTGGAGAAATTTGTCATCAGTGGTAAATGCTCCATAAGCAGGCTCCCCAAATTCAGTAGGACATCATTTTGAACAGCCTCCAAGTGTGTGCACAGAAACTACACAGGTACAAAATATGCATACAAAACAATTACCATTTCCTCTGTTCCTCCTGCCACAGGTTTATAATACACCTTGTACTGACGGGGATTTCCTTCAGCGTGATCCCATCGGACGTTCAACGTGCTAGTGGTTGGATCATAAACTCTAAGATTCCTTACAGTATTGAGAGGTTCTGAAGTGATTTAAAAGTATAAAAAAGAGAGAAACATTCATATAATGCATATTTAGATATGCATTAATATAAATTAAAGTTGTATGCCTTAAATCTGAAGCATGTTAAAATTGTGAGAGGGGTGGCTATATAAATTGATACAACAAAGTAAATTGACATAACAAAGTGCTGTCCTAGTTGTGTAAAGTGGCATAAAACCGAGACTTGACTCACCATCATGTCCACTTCAACTGTTCATTTTTAAATGCATTGCATGGACAACCTAATCTTACATTTTTCTTTAATCTAAAGGAAAATATGAAAACCTTCTAAAAATGCTGCTTCTTGGAATACAATTATCTGCTATTGCTTTGCTGCTGTTCCTGCTTTATTTCTGAAGTTTAAGGAGGGCTGAGGAACTTCACTATTCAATAGCCATCTAGCTGTAGTATTGATGGTATAACTAAGCTCTCATGTTCCTGAAGCCTCAGAGATAGAATGACATAATCTTTCATCATCTCACTACACAGCTATTCAGAAAAATAAACCTCTGCAAAAGAAAGAAAAAATAAAAACCAAAGTAATAAAGATGCTTCCCTACCATTAATCACACAATGGTTATTAAACTATTCTCATCCTTGTGGGGTTAAATATACCTACCCATTACCGCTATTAAGTAAAATTTAAGTAAATGCACTGTAATTTCTCCTAATAAAACACATTTGGGCAATGAGTTTAAATACATTTAACTGTGATATATTTTCCTCTCTCATTCAAATCAAATATTTGGAAAAGTCCAGATAGTTGTGAAACAGTTAATGAAGATCACAATTTTAAGGAATAAATGGGGAGGCACAGGAATCATATTTCCAGGATTTAGAACTTTAATATATGTGTGTTAATATTTAATGATGAGCTTTTAAGGATCAAGCTGTAGAATATCAACACAAAGGGTTTTTCCAAACAATGAAATGAAAGCAGACTTTATCTTTATGCCTTCAACAGCCTTTTTTGGTGGGGGTAATACTCTGCTGACTACATAGATTTGATGCAGTATTTTTCCAAACTGCATTCCAGCACCAGAGAGAACTCTAGAGCCTGGAAACAACTGAATTGCAGTGGACAGAAATGGGTGGAAAGGGGAAAAAGAGAGAAGTTCATTAAAAGGCCATGTATAATTGAGGTGAAGCCATCCAGCTTTTTTGTTATTTCTCAGAGTGAAATAAAACACCACCTCAGTCTGATTTGGCCCCAGGGAACAGGAGCCCTATCTTGGGGAAAGAAAGCTGGATCCTACACAAGAACTGTGCAAGAACTGTACACTTATCATTCAATAAAACAGTCTTCTGGAAGAAATAAACTTACATTAGCTTCTCCCTCCCACTCTCACTCACGCATTACATACCATTTAAAGACATGAAAGCTATAGAAAGAAAATCTAAGTCAGGGGTCTCCAAACTTGGCAACTTTAAGACTTGTGGACTTCAACTCACAGAATTCTCCAGCCAGCTGAGCTGCTGAAACAATTCAGGCCTACACTGGGTGTTTGCAAATCTATTTTGTTGTCCTTCTGAAGGACCCAGCTAAGACTTAAAGGCGAGTCCTAGCTGGATCCTACAGGCAGCCAGATGAAAAGTTTGGCAAAAGCTTTGCAAAGACCCAGCACCTGCCATTTTGTCGCACAAATCTCCAGTCTGCTAAACTTTTGGAGATGTTTTATTTATTTTTTTCCTACAGTTCAAAGGGAAAAAAGCTGTTGAAAGATTTTCTCTCCTTGCTTGCTTGGTTCTTGTACTTTTCTGCCTGGAGTCAGGATATGGTTTTTAAAAGGGATAGAGGTTGGAGACCAAAGCTAAGGCGTATAATGGGGCAAGGGGGGAAATCAACAAGTCGATCCTTCCCAGTGTTTTCTGTTTTGCTTATTGAAGAAATGTGGGTTTCTGGGGAAGGGAGGAGGTTAAGCAAAAGATTTTAGAAAGCTCCTCCAGAAGCTGCTGCCTTTACACGGCCTCCCAAAGCCTAACAACACTCAGGATAAGTTTACATCCTCCCAACAGTCAGCTGTTGGGGCAGAAAGATCTGAAAGGCTAGGAAACGGGTCAAGGCAGGGACAGAATTAGGAAAGTCAGGTGCACCGAGCATGTTCCTTCCCCACTGTTTCTCACTGCCAAGACATCCAGCTGTGCAAGGGCTGGCATGGGAGGCATCCAAGGCATGGGAAGGAGAACATGGGGTGCCTTGGGGTGCGGGAAGCCTTGGGAGGCCTGAGGCAGGTGGGCTAGTGCCTGCACTAGGGCTCCCAAGATCTCCTGCACCCCTGAGCTCCACTCTACCACCCGTGGATTTGTTTAACAAATGCAGTAGAGAGATAAGGATGGTTGGTATTTGAGGCAGCTCATTTTTCATGTGTTGCGACTTCCAACCCTAATGGGCAGGCTCTGTTATGGCCATAATTCGAGGACTACCTGTACTGACTCGAAATAAATCCTACTTTGAATCCTATTGTGGACTTGTGGAATGACACACACACACAAAACAGCGAGGCAACAGATTGAACAGAAAAGTTTTTTAGAAGTTGATAATGTGGCTTTTTTTTAAAAAAAGTAAAATGACGGAGGGTCATATGACAATGAACTCCAAAACCTGCCAACTTTCCTAAATCATTTAAAAACCGCCTTTGTGATTCTGTTTCAGTGAAAAACAAAATGCTCAGGATGGTTTCACTTACTGGTCTTGCCCTTTCCTGATATTTGTCCTCCATCCCCTTCTGCGTAAATCGAAGAAACCGTAATGCGGTAAGGGGTATCAGGCCGCAGCTTCTGAAGCACAATGCTGTTCTTGCTTCCTCCAACTGTGGACTTGAATACAATGGAATGGCATGAAAAACAGCAAGGCGACCAACTAAACAGAGTTTAGTCTGAAAAAGAAGTATGTCTTCTTGCATGTATCCAGATTCAGGTTTCTAGCTCAGAACGATAGTACTGCAACTATAACTTTTATAACTTGTTAGGTGGACATTTTTAATTGTCTGCCATGTTATTTGTCAGACACCAGAATGACAAGACATCAGTCAATGCAAGGGTTTTTAAAAATAGAACATTTGTTTTATTTCTGCATATTGGTTAGAAAATACAAACATGGGAATGCTCATGTGGCTGATTAATTAAAAGCTATGTAATACCTACAGCATCCTGGCGTAGGCATTTGTAGGGAAAAGGGGAAGAAAAGGACAAATTATAGCATGACCTCACAGTGCAAAACCTCGGACTTTATGCACATGAATCCAAAGTCGTATCATCACATACTTGCCATTTTTTTTCAACATCCCAGTTCATAGCAATAGCAATAGCACTTAGTTACCACTTCACAGTGCTTTTACAGCCCTCTCTAAGCAGTTTACAAGAGTCAGCCTATTGCCCCCAGTAATCTGGGTCCTCATTTTACCCACCTCAGAAGTATGGAAGGCTGAGTCAACCTTGAGCCTGGTAGGATTCGAACTGCCAAATTGCAGGCAGCTGGCAGTCAGCAGAAGCAGCCTGAAGTACTGCACTCTAACCACTGCGCCACCATGGCTCATAACTGACTCACTGATCCCAGGTCTTTGTTCAGCTTTTATTATGGACAGTAGGACAGATAATATGACAGGAAATTTCAGCAAAATCCAATCACGAGGACGTGCAGCAAAATTAATTGTATATGGTTATGACACTTCACAATCAACATCCAACTATATGTGTTTTTCTCTATGGATGAGCTTAGTCTACCTTAGAAAGCTTGCATTGTTTGAAGCACTTCTGTGTTATCCTACAACTTTTCTCTCCCTCTCACTCAAGTAAAATTCTACACCAATATTTTTTTTATCTAACAATCAATATTTCTTCATTGTAATGTAGGAATTAAGCTCATTTGACTTGATCGTGCAGAATATTAAAACTTATAATATTAAAAGTATAAAAAAGAAAAAAAAGGTCTGTTAGACCTTTTTAACAATCTAACACACTGAACAGACCACTTTTTCTTTAAAAAAATCCTTTTTAAAAAAAAAAACAGTCAATGCTTTCCCTCTGGAAAATTAATTACCGAAAGTTCAGCACCATCGCCCGTAGCAGGTCGGTAATTGATCCTGTAGCGTTGTACCCGTCCAATGGCAGGATCCCATTTGACAGTCAAGCTATTAGATGTTGCATTGTATACCTGGAGATTCCGTGGGGGACTCGTTGGTACTGGAATGAAATTATTAAAAGAGTTGCTGAGCAGAATCTTGCAAAAAATAAATGTGCAATATAATCATTCTACACTATCATATGAAAACTAGGTACTCATGTCTGAGAAAAATATTTTTAATATTTTAAATTAAATTGTTTTTTTTATTTAAAATCAAACATAACTGTCTAAAATTTGGAATTTAAATAATTGCATCTTCACCAACATATGCCAAATATATTTTAAAGAACTGTATCTTTACCAATGTACGCCAAGTGTAATATTAGTAAGATACTACTATGCCAGGGGTGGGCAAACTACGGCCCGCGGGCCACACCCGGCCCGTTGGTCTGTCCAATGCGGCCCCCCCCTGAAAAAAAATCGCTGCCATTGGTCTGTCCAATCCGGCCCACCCCTGAAAAAAAATCGCTGCCATTGGTCTGTCCAATCCGGCCCACCCCTGAAAAAAAATCGCTGCCATTGGTCTGTCCAATCCGGCCCACCCCTGAAAAAAAATCGCTGCCATTGGTCTGTCCAATCCGGCCCACCCCTGAAAAAAAATCGCTGCCATTGGTCTGTCCAATCCGGCCCACCCCTGAAAAAAAATCGCTGCCATTGGTCTGTCCAATCCGGCCCACCCCTGAAAAAAAATCGCTGCCATTGGTCTGTCCAATCCGGCCCACCCCTGAAAAAAAATCGCTGCCATTGGTCTGTCCAATCCGGCCCACCCCTGAAAAAAAATCGCTGGGCGTGGCGTATTGCCCTGTGCCGCATGGCCCCCAAAGCTGCAAAACAGTGCGGAGCGATCTAGGGGTAGGAAAGAAAAGAAATTTGCAAAGGCCTCGGCTGGGAGTTCGAAATCACCTTCAAGTGCGACCTCTCCGAAAGTGAGTCCCCGCCGATCCCCCTTTTTTTCCCGGGGCTTCCAGGCTTAAACTTTGCAAAGGCAAAGCTTGCAGGCTGGAGCGTTTTCCCGCCGAGGAGCGGCGGGCGGGGCGGGCTGCTTGGAGCCACCTAAAGCTAGGCCGCTGCTGGTGGAGCCTTGCCCTGCCTTGGTGCCCCATTTCCCGGCTCGGCGGTCCTGCTCGGGCGGCACTTTAAAAGCCTGCTCCCAGCACCCGAGCAACTTCCCAGCAACTTTCAGCTTCGTTTTAACTCACGGGCGCTCGCGCCTGGCCCCGAGCCACGCGGCGGAG